CTCTTCCCTAACATGGCTCCCATAACACGAGCAATCAGGCCTTCGCCCTCCAGCCAGGAGACTGGAAGTCTTCCCTGGGTATATCCCAAGAGAAGTGGGAATGACACTGAAATGGTTTCCCCAACTAAACTGTCTAGTGAGAACAACTATAATGACGTTCATATTCCATATGCCCCTCTACCACCCAGAGCTTCCAAGAAGCTTTTTAGTCTTCCACTCTGAAATATGACTAGACAGCCAAGGGTTACCAGACAACAAAGGAAAAACGAAACAGAATAAAACAAACAGAAGAAAGTTAGAGGAAAAACTGCAGAAAGGAGAAAATTTTAAACATCTATTATTAATATTTTATCATTAGAAAAAAGTTAATGCAATCAGAAAACAGGCACAAAACATTAATAAGAAAAATTAATAATGAGAAAAAATAAATTTTCTGAAAAGAAGTTATAAATTAAAAATACATGGTACGTCCCTGTACTTTCAGCTACTTGGGAAGCTGAGGCAGTAAGACTGCTTGAAACCAAGAGTCTGGGGCCAGCCTGGGCAATACAATAAGACCCCGTCTCTCTCTCTTTTTTTTTTTTTTGAGCTGGAGTTTCACTCTTGTTGCCCAGGCTGGAGTGCGACAACACAATCTTGGCTCACCGCAACCTCCACCTCCTAAGTTCAAGCGATTCTCCTGCCTCAGCCTACAGAGTAGCTGGGATTATAGGCATGCACCACCACGCCCGGCTAATTTTGTATTTTTAGTAAAGACGGGGTTTCATCATGTTGGTCAGGCTGGTCTCGAACTCCTGACCTCAGGTGATCTGCCGGCCTTGGCCTCCCAAAATCCTGGGATTACAGGCATGAGCCACTGTGCCCGGCAAGACCCTATCTCTTAAAAAAAAAAAGCAGAAATCCAACAGAAAATCTGGAAGATAAAGTTGAAGAAAGTTCCCAGGAAGTAGAGAATATATAAAAGAAACACAGAAGCCACAGTAAGTCAACCAGAAGGACAACAGAGGACATCCAGTAACTTAATTACACAAATACTGGAAAGAACAGAGAAAACAGATGGAGGGAACTCATCAGTCAAATAATTCAAAATTCCCTACAGCTGAAGGACATGAAGTTCTAGCTTGAAAGGGCCCACTGTGTGCCCACACTGTGAAGTGAAAAAAACAAACTTTATCGGAAGATTCAGAACACTGGTTATAAAGAAAAGATAATTCAAACTTCCAGAGAAAATAAAAGTCACACACAAAAATCAGGAGTAACACTAGAAGCCAGGAGGTAGAATAAGATTTTCAGATGTCTGAAGAAATATTTCCAACAAATAATTCAATACCTAGACAAACAATCACTTAAGTGTGAGGGTAGAAAACGAACTTTTTCAGCTGGGCGCGATGGTTCACGCCTGTAATCCCAGGACTTTGGGAGGCTGAGGTGGGCAGATCACCTGAGGTTGGGAGTTCAAGATCAGCCTGACCAACATTTAGTATCTCTACTAAAAATACAAAAACTATTAGCCGAGCATGGTGGCGCATGCTTGTAATCCCAGCTACTCGAGAGACTGAGGCAGGAGAATCCCTTGAACCCAGGAGGCGGAGGTTGTGGTGAGCTGAGATCGTGCCATTGCACTCCAGCCTGGGTGACAAAAGTGAAACTCCGTCTCAAAAAAAACCAAAAAAACAAAAAAAACCCCACAACTTTTTCAGACATAAAAAGCCTCAAAAAGGGGCCAGTGTGGGGGCTCACAACTATAATCCCAGTACTTTGGGAGGCCAAGGCAGAAGGATCGCTTGAGCCCAGGAGTTCCAGACTAGCCCGGGCAACAAAGGAAGACCCCGTCTCTACAGAAAATAAAATGATCAGCTGGGCATTAGGTGTGATTGCGCCACTGTACTCTAGGCTGGAGAACAGAGTGAGACCCGGTCTCAAAAAATAGAAAAGAAAGCCTCAAAAAGTACATCTCATGCCCCCTTCTTCAGGAAGCTGGCAGAGTATGTGTGCCATATAATAAGGTAGTAAGCCTGGGCAACACAGTGAAACCCTGTCTCTACAAAAAATACAAAAATTAGCTGGGCATGGTGGTACACACCTGTGGTACCAGTTACTCAGGAGCCTGAGACAAGAGCAGCTCTTCAGCCGGGGAAGTTGAGGGAGCAGTGAGCTATGATTGTGCCACTGCACTCCAGCCTGAGTAACAGAGCAAGACCTTGTCTCAGAAAAAAAAAAAAAATTTACATGGGCCGGGTGCGGTGGCCCATGCCTGTAATCTTGGCACTTTGGGAAACCAAGGCAGGTGGATCTCTTGAGCCCCAGAGTTCGAGTTCAGCCTAGGCAACATGGTGAGACCCTGTCTCTACAAAAAAATGCAAAAAACTAGCCAGCCGTGGTATTGTGCACCTGCAGTCCCAGATACTCACTTGGGAGGCTGAGGTGGGAGGATCATGAGGCTAGAAGGTCTAAGGTACAGTGAGCTTTGATCATGCTATTGCACATCAGCCTGGGTGACAGTGAGACTGTCTCAAAAAAAAAAAAAAAAAAGTAGTAAACTAAGAAAAAGAAAACTGTAGGATATACTAAACATAACACCCAACATAGATACAGAGAATTCCCAGATAATAATGGTGAAGAGAGATCTCAGGAAACAGCCAAGAGATTAGCCAGTCCATATTAAGCAAGTCAGAAGGCTCTAGAGATGTCTTCAGGAAGGTGAAACTGATAGCACACTTCATTCATCTGAACATCTTGAGGGGAGATTGAGAATACTAGTAAAGGATGTGAGGTTAAAGTAGGAATAAATATGTAAAAAACTGAACAAGTAAATAAAACCAAGACAGTTATAACTCCAGGGAAATCCAAAAGTTACAAAGAAAACGAAAAGTAATCATAGCTTCCTTCATGGTTCCACTGTGACTAGTTTATATATCATACAAGTATAAATTTGGAATCTTGATCTAAAAAAATTACCACTGAAGAATGGGAGTTAGGAAGGGTGTATAACTATACATTAATAGAACAAAGAATTTTTTTTTTTTTTTGAGACGGAGTCTCGCTCTGCCGCCCAGGCTGGAGTGCAGTGGCCGGATCTCAGCTCACTGCAAGCTCCACCTGCTGGGTTTACGCCACTCTCCTGCCTCAGCCTCCCGAGTAGCTGGGACTACAGGCACCCGCCACGTCACCCGGCTAGTTTTTTCTATTTTTTAGTAGAGACGGGGTTTCACCGTGTTAGCCAGGATGGTCTTGATCTCCTGACCTCGTGATCCGCCCGTCTGAACAAAGATTTTTAAAAACACATAAAACAGGGCTGCTGAAAATAAACATGAATCAACAGCATTGGTCCCTGTGTCTGAACCATGGGTGTCGGGGCAATGATTATGCCCCCTTCAGGACTGTCAATGTGTCTTGTGAACCTTCTTGCAGGAGGGAAAAAACCCAAAACTGGCTGGGCACGGTGGCTCATGCCTGTAATTCCAGCATTTTGGGAGGCTGAGGTGGGTGGATCACAAGGTCAGGAGTTCAAGACCAGCCTGGCCAATATGGTGAAATCCCGTCTCTGCTAAAAATACACAAATTAGCTGGGTGTGGTGGCATGCACCTGTAGTCTCAGCTACTTGGGAGGCTGAGGCAGGAGAATCGCTTGAATTCGGGAAGTGGAGGTTGCGGTGAGCCAAAATGGTGCCATTGCACTTCAGCCTGGGAGACAGAGCAACACTCTGCCTAAAAAAGAAAAAACCAAACTACTGTCAGTGTATGGATTAATCTATTCAGACGCAGAACAGTTCTGGTGATGATTGTTTAAAGTGACAGTATTCCAAACCCTCAGGCCATCAAATCTTAGAGCCCAGAACAATTGTATAAGTTAACATCAGTTGGCTTTTTTCCCATCTTTTTTGGAATCAAGTATGTTTGAATACCTGGCTGCACTAATCTTTCAAGCACATATATTTAAGTCTCCTTAATTTTGACTGAGATGAGAAAACAAAAGTTGGCTTATTTTTCTCAGTTCCTTAAAAACAGTAACTCAAGATAAACCCTTTCAAAAATGCAGTACAGTACTTTTAAAACAAAAGACATCCACATTGAATAAGCAGTGGCAGTTTTGGGGCCTAATATGGCTGTTATTTATAAGCTGGCCATTTTTACATCGTGAGAGTAGTTCATTAGTCAATGCATTTTGATTAGATCAAATTTGATTTGATCTTATCCTAGCATACTCTGAACACATCTTGAGTTCAACCCTTCTCAAGTGATTTTGGCAAGCATAGCCAAAGAGCATCCTCTGCTGGTCAGAAAAAAAATGGTGCTTTCACAATACCCAGATTTACTCCAGTGATTGCATACGCATTTAGGGTTTGTGGTTCTCAAAATGCTTTTTTTTTTTTTGAGACGGAGTTTCGCTCGTTGCCCAGGCTCGAGTGCAATGGCCCGATCTTAGCTCACTGCAAGCTCCGCCTCCCGGGTTCAAGCGATTCTCCTGCCTCAGCCTCCTGAGTAGCTGGAATTACAGGCGCCCGCCACCACGCCCAGCTAATCTTTCGTATTTTTAGTAGAGACGAGGTTTCACCATGCTGGCCAGGCTGAAACCTGGCCTCAGCTGAGGTCTCGAACTCCTGACCTCAGCTGATCCACCTGCCTCAGCCTCCCAAAGTGCTGGGACTACAGGCGTGAGCCACCGCGCCGGGCCTACTTTTTAAAGTGTATGAAAGCATTAACTTTAATGTTAACATCAGAATTTGAGAAAAAGAAGTTTAATAATTCAAAATTTCGTCTAAAATAATCCAGAACTCCACGTTTCTATCACTCACTGTAGGCTCCTGTCCCTTCCACCCCCGGGCGGGAACCCCTCCCAGGGACCCAGCCAGCTCTCAGCACTTCGGTCCCCACTGGTCTTGGTCTACTCGATCCGACGGAGGGGCTCCTGCAACTGCGCTGTACCCTAAATATTTGCTGAATCGTTTTGACTTTTACTTGTTCCAATTTCGCTTTTTTTTGGTTGCTTTTTTACGAACAAGAGGTTTAGAGAACCACATGGAAAAAAGGCAAGGCCAGGCCCGGACGCCCCGCCTCCTGCCTCCCGGCCCGGCGGTGCCCGGAAGCCGGGCTCGCGCCCACGGCGCAGCCACACACGACCTCGATCCCGTACTTCGCGCGCTCTCTTGCACCGCCGCGGCCATCTCGCTCAGGAGCTCCTCCACGACTGCCGGCAACACTACGGCCATCGTACCGCAGGACACGCCCTCCACGACTGGTCGACCGCTGCGACGCTCCAACTGACCGCGCCTACCCGCGGAGGATTCCGACGCCCGCCGGGGCAGGGCGAGACAGAGTGACGTCGACGCGCGTGCGGACGCAAGGAGGTCCTGCTCAGTCGTCAGGGCCCGGCCAATCCAGAGGGCGCTCGCCGCGGGGGCGGGGACCAGGATCGCGCCTGGCCTGCAGTGCGCAGAGGACGCGGCGGGAGCATGTACAGGCTCCTCAGCCGGAGTCTGGGCCGAGGCCTCCTGCGGGCCGCGGGGCGGCGGTACGGGGGCTGCTCCGCGCGCCTGCTCCCTGGGCTGGCAGGAGGCCCGGGGCCCGAGGTGCAGGTGCCGCCATCCCGAGTCGCGCCGCACGGCCGGGGCCCAGGCCTGCTGCCGCTGCTGGCAGGTGAGGGGCGCGGGCCGGGCGGGGCCGACCGGGCGGGGACAGGGGCGCGGGCCGGGCCCGATGACCTCAGAGCCCCTTCCCGCAGCGCTCGCCTGGTTCTCGAGGCCCGCTGCGGCAGAGGAGGAGGAGGAGCAGCAGGGAGCCGACGGGGCCGCCGCCGAGGACGGGGCGGACGAAGCCGAGGCCGAGATCATCCAGCTGCTGAAGCGAGCCAAGGTGAGGCGGCTCCGGGCCCTGCGCCCGGCCGAGCGCGGTAGCGTTTGTGAGCGGGGTCTTGGCGTTGTCGCTGCGCATTGCTCTCTCCGCCTCGCCGAAGAGTGGATGGAGGCTCCGCGGGTAAAATTGCCGAGAATGAGGTGGGTCATCAGAGAGGGGATTGGAATCCATCCAGGCTTTCCCGACTCTAAGGCCTGCAGTTAAACCTCTGCAGTGTCAAGTGCAAATGGAGATGGCGCCCCAGGCATCATGTTTTTATGCAAACGAAATACCAGGAACGTTTTGTAGTTGTTTTATCAATTAACCAGCCTACCTGAAATGACACAATTTCGCACGTATATAGCGGCCTGAAAATGTCAACTTAGTGTTGGTTATGCGATTCGGTTCTCTTTCTGAATTCTTCCCTTTCTCCACATGCTTTTCTATTTTCTTGTCTCCCCTTCTCCCCAAGTTATCTCATGCCAACAACGTCCAAATTTGTGTTTCCAGACTGTAGTGTGCTCCTGACATGCCATCTGCACTTTGGTACTTTACCTACCTCTCAGATTTAACATGCCCAAAACTAAACTCGATCTTTAATGCCTCCTCAACATGTGCTTTCACCATCTCTTTACTACCATAAGTTTTTCAGCCTAAAAACCTCATAGTCATTCTTAAAACTTGTGGTACGTTACCATTGCCTTCCAATGCAGTTACAGTCCAGCAACAAGTCCTGTTGCCAACAAATGCAAAATATGTCTCAAATCTTTCCCCTTTTCTCTATCTCCTTTGCTGTCACCCTAGTGGAAACCATCATTGCCACCACCTATGCTCCAATAGTCTTTCCTAGCCTCCTGTCCCCTTGCAATCTATTCTCCATGCAGAAACCAAAGCGACCAAAAAAAAAAAAAGTAAATTGGATCATATCATCTCCTTGCCTGAAAGCTCTGAATGGCTACCCACTGCATTTATGATAAAATACAAACTCCTTGCCATGGCTTGCAACACCCCACATGATCTAAACTAGCATACCTTGCCCACCCGTTTGGCAGTAATCCTCTAGCTCACCATCCTCCCTTCACATCTGTTTCTTTGCATTTCTTCCCCAAAACCATTCTCTTCAGCTTGTAGGGACTTCACTCATTTTCTACCCTCTGTTTGAGTCATTGTTCTCCCCAGGTCCTTCTTTGGTTGACTCATTCTCATCCTTCCTATCTCAGTTTAGCTGTCACTTCCTTGGAAAGCTTCCCTAAGTCCCATTTGGAGGAGACCCCTTATCATTCCTTTCTGTCATCTTTATAGCTCTTATCATTAGTTGTAATTAAGCTTACTTGTCCTGTATGGTCACCTCCAGCCTGCAAGAAATTAGAAAGAGGATGGAGGACAAGCAGCTTCCTTATAAAATATGTTGTAAGATCACATTCCTTCTGCCTGTGTCTCTTGGCCAAAACTTCATCAGATGGCCACACTTAGCTGCAAGGGAGACTGACCTCCCTGTCACCTCTATAGACAATGCCTTGTACATAGTAGGAATTCAGTAAATGTCTGATGAATGAGTTTGCTTCCTTCTATCATTAGGATGTGTAGTTGCATACACTTCTGTCTGGTAGCATATGCATCTACTATATGTTTCATTTTCTATTATTTTGTCTTCCCTTTTCAGTTGAGCATCATGAAAGATGAGCCAGAAGAGGCTGAGTTAATTTTGCATGACGCTCTTCGCCTCGCCTATCAGACTGATAACAAGAAGGCCATCACTTACACTTATGATCTGGTAACTCTTATAACCAGTCTGAACCACTGATGAGGAAGGTTGGATGGAAGGGAAGGGTTATTAGTTCTCCTGATTCATATTCCTGACTTTCATGATGTTCTAAAGCTCCTTTTCTTTTTCAATGAGTTTTCTTTTGGCTTCAGTTTTATTTTTTTGTTTTGTTTTGTTTTGTTTTGAGATGGAGCCTTGCTCTGTTGCCCAGGCTGCAGTGCAGTGGCACGATCTTGGCTCACTGCAACCTCCGCCTCATGAGTTCAAATGATTCTTTTGCCTCACCCTCCCGAGTAGCTGGGATTACGGGTACGCATCACTATGCCTGGCTAATTTTTGTATTGTAGTAGAGATGAGGTTTCACCGTATTGGCCAGGCTGGTCTCAAACCCCTGACCTCAGGTGATCCACCTGCCTTGGTCTCCCAAAGTGCTGAGATTAAAGGCATGAGCCACCATGCCCGGCCATGGCTTCAGTTTTTTTACCCTTGGGGTGACATAAGACCTCTCAATTCCAGACCAAAAGAAACCAGTATCATTAGCATGTTTCTTTAATGATGAGTGGACCTAGATTTGGTTTGTTAACAACAAAGTATGTGCAAGTATTTACTTCTCACATGATTGCTGTTCTGCGCTTCTAGCAGATTAATTGGTGACATGCTTTTCATTTTAAACTTTTTTTAATTTTGAGGGTGAAAGCAAAAGGGAATTTTAAAGTTTTGAAATAAGTAGGAACACAGTACTCTAAACTGAAAAACAATTTGTAATTTGCTTTCAGATGGCCAACTTAGCATTTATACGGGGTCAGCTTGAAAATGTAAGTAAATTACTTTGCAATGTCTTGAATTTGTGAAGGAGTAGCTTCAAGGGTACTGTGATAGTAAGGGTACAGGATAAGCTGCTATAACAAAGAGACCCCAGAATATAGTGACTCAAACAAGATACAAGTGTATTTCTCTTTATTGTGTTAGTCCAGAGATAGGCTAAAGACTGAAGGCAGATAGACATAGGCACCTTTGCTCTCTGATCCAGAAGTCCAGGTTCCTTCTAAGATAAGCCCTCATCTGCTTGGGTGAACTGCCTCACCTCCAGCCTGCAGGAAGCGGGAGAAGATGGACTGTGAGCAGCTTCCTTATAAAATATGATTTAGAAGTTCATGTTCTTTTTGCCTGCATCCCTTCGCCTAAATTTTATCACATGACCATATCTAACTTCAGGGTGTCCAAGCTGCTAAAATTGACTGAATGTTTTTTTTTAAGATAAGGTCTTGATCTGTTGCCCAGGTTGGAGTGTGGTGGCTTGATCACGGCCGACTGCAACCTTGACCTCCCAGGCTCAGTTGATCCTCCCACCTCAGCCTCCTGAGTAGCTGGGACTCCAGGCGTGTGCCACAACACCTGGCTAATTTTTATTAATTTATTTATTTATTTATTTATTTATTTATTTATTGATTGTAGAGACGGGGTTTCACCATGTTTCCCAGGCTAAATTGAGGGGACTCTGTAATCAAAAAGATGGAGAAGCAGAATGACTATTAGGAGACAGTTTGTAGTCTCTGCCACAGTGGGTTTGGATAAGAAGTTAATCTCTGAGGTTGTTTTCTGCTCATCAGAGAGTAGTTTAAGGTACATAGAGGATGCTGGGGGTCCTGATATTTTGATCTGTTTTCCTTTCAAAAGGGTACTTTTCTGTGTGTGAGTGTGCATGTGTGTGAGTATATGGGCTTTACAAGGAATGATACATCAGATTGGTACTTAGAATCCGGGGCCATATATATATAATGGGTCCCAATTAAAAGAAAAATCTTTTTCTTATGCTTTTAGGCTGAACAACTTTTTAAAGCAACAATGAGTTACCTCCTTGGAGGGGGCATGAAGCAGGTAAGGACATTGCCTAGTATTGGCCCCTCACTGAAGCAGTTTTCAGAACAGTCTTGTCTGCTGAAAACTCCTGCTAGCCCCACCATACGCTTTGGTCAGGAAAGGTGGAGTTTCCCTTCTGAGATCTGTATACAAATAGACGTTCTTTCACTAAATGCAACAGCATGTTCGCCAAGGAATTCACAGTTGGCTAATCACTCTAAAAGAATAAAGACTGTGGCTTTGAGGCCACCGTCAGTCTGGAAGTTGATCTGAAATAATCCATGAGAATATTTGACTTGTTATGAATTCCCTTCATTCTCTTTCTCTCACAGGAGGACAATGCCATAATTGAAATTTCCCTAAAGCTGGCTAGTATCTATGCTGCGCAGAATAGGTAAGTACGGCAGCCAGGGAGTAGGACTGTGGGCAGAAAAGTTTGACTCTGGGATGTTACATAATATTCATTGCCTGCTGGTCATCTGGGTCTCCCAGAAATTGGGTGCCACACTCAAAAAGTGTTCTGTCCCTCATCTTTGGAATTGTCAGTCTTTTCCAGTTTGCCCCTCCTGTTTCCAGTAGCCTGCCTAGTGGGGCACACAGCATCTCTGGCTGCCCTGTGACAAAGCTAACTAAGTTTTCTGTTGCTGCTTGAAGTGGGAAGGGAAGTTAGAGTTACAACTTTAGTTTAACTTTTTTAGAAGAGGAAAGAGCAGTGTGAAAGCTGCTGGGGATAATATATTAATACTCTGAAGAAGCCATTTTGCTGGTATAGATAGAGTTCAAAGATGAAGCATCTAGGATGTAAGCAGAGAACTCCTCTAGGGAGTTGTATTTGGGGTGAATTTAGGGAGAGACCTAAGACTAGCTTCACTTAGGGTTTTAGTGGTGCAGAAGTTGGTGCTAGAGGTTTGGAGTGACACGGAGCCTGATGCTGTAGAAAGGGTGCTTACCGAGACCAGGCCCTGGTACTGGTCCCTGCTGTCCTACTCACCAGCTCCTTTGTTCTCATCAGGACCTGCAGAGTCTCCTTGCATTTTGATTGGACACTGGATAGGCTAGAGCTTCCTAGAGCCTTTGACTTCATGTCTTTTGAGGAGCTTTGAGCTTGGCCTATGCCAGAGAACACTGCAGCTTGGTCAGTCTTCCTTGGAATTGTAACAAACATGCCTAGTTCTTGATTGGGTATGAACTCCTAGGGTAAGAAGAAGCCCGGAGCTAATAAACGTTGTTGAATAAGACAAATTCATAGTCTTATAGACGTGAAAGCTAGTAACAATTAGCCTCTAAGTTACATGGTATACTGTACTTTTTATTTTGTTTTATTAAGACAAGCATGAGACTAGAAAAGACATGGCCAGATCTGAGGCTTCGAAAGGCTGATATAAGTTAGGAGGGGAATTGTTTGTGGACCTCTTGCTCTGACTGGGAGCATCTTGTGGGCAGCATCCACTTGCCCTGTGTTATGGCTGGAGAGGGCCCTCTTGCCAAGTTTTGAGTGTAGGGAAGGAAGGGGATGCTTCTATTCTTCTGAGAACAGAGCAGAACAGTAGGGTCGTAAGTTCTCCCCTGGCAAAGCACTAGAGAAAAGATGAGCTTTTAGTGCCACTTCTGTAAGAAACTAGAGCCAAAACCGAAGAACAAGAACCAAAACTGAGTTCCTAAATGGAGAAGGGATTTCTGTCACATTTCCTCTGCATCTCTGTAAAAAGCAGCAGTCAGCCAGCCTGCTTGGGTTAACTGAACCCTCTCCAATTGACTGAGGGTCCAGGGCTACAGAGTTGGGTTAAACGACTTCTATTGCCACAGCTAGGAGTTCCATTTCTGCAAAAGAAACTTTTATCAGAGACCTACAGCTTGAAATAAATATAAAATGACTAAAGCTCCTGAGAAGCTGTATGAGGTCAACAGTTGGAATCCTCACTGCAGGGTGGCCTGAACCTCTGTTCAGGGTAGTATTAGTTTGAACAGAGGTAAGACTTTCGCACATGGAGAAACTGATTCACTGGAGACCATCTGTTAGTGGGAGATGATGAAGACCGCTGGCTATGTCAGTTATTAAAATTAGGGCAGCATTCCTAGCTTTTTGTGTCTTAAGTTATATTAAATGGATGACTTTTAACTACTTTGAGAAATGGCAGATTTGACACTCCTTAGACTTTAAACAAAGTTCCCTCTTCCCATTTTACACTTCCTTTACTGATAATGTTTAAACTGAGCTGCAAAAATGAAGATAAAAAAGGAATTTATGAAAAGGTAAATGGGCCGGGTGTGGTGGCTCACGCCTGTAATCCCACCACTTTGGGAGGCCGAGGCAGGTGGATCACCTAAGGTCAGGAGTTCGAGACCAGCCTGACTGACCAACATGGAGAAACTCTGTCTTTACTAAAAATAGAAAAATTAGCTGGGCATGGTGGCAGACACCTGGAATCCCAGCTACTTGAGAGCTGAGGCAGGAGAATCGCTTGAACCCGGGAGGTGGAGGTTGCTCTGAGCCGAGGTCGCGCCATTGCACTCCAGCCTGGGCAACAAGAGCGAAACTGCATCTCAACGGCAAAAAAAAAAAAAAAAAAGAAGAAAAGGTAAATGGCTGATTATTGATTTTGCTTTACAGACAGGAATTTGCTATTGCCGGCTATGAATTCTGCATTTCAACTCTAGAGGAAAAAATTGAAAGAGAAAAGGAATTAGCAGAAGACATTATGTCAGGTAGGAAACCCATTATCTGGGCATCACTTTTCTCCACAAAAGGCTTTACTTTACACTTTGAGAAATGGAAAGAGATCTAAATTGGGAAGAGGGAAAGTTACCTATCTTTAAGGTATCAGCAGAAGTTTTGGAATAAGATGTTTTGTTTAAAATATTTGCTGTTTTGGTGGGTTTTTTTTTTTACCCCCTTGGTGACATGTTCATAATTTATCTGTTAACTTTTAGTTACATATAACTTATGGAAAATCGGGGAGCAGAAGAAGAAGGTCTTTCTTTATTATCTCTTAGTTCAGCTACCAATCAAAATGCTTATTACATTTTAGCCCTAGATATGCAGCAAATTAAGAAAGAAGAGAAAAAAAGCTCATGTTTTTGCAATTCATCCTCACTCATTCTAGAGACTAGGAATAGAACTGGATGAGCAGGAAGTTCTCTAGCTGTCCACCATTTTGGGTTTCTTAATTTGGGTTGAGGTATTGAGAATTTTCAGATTTGACATTTATTCAATACCTACTCTATACCAAGAGCTATCAAGATGGTAGGGATACAGCAGTCAACTCTTCTGTACCTAATTGTCTTCTAACTCTCTCTTGAACAGACAGTAGTCCCCTATTATCCATGGGGAATATGTTCCAAGACCCCCAGCAGATGCCTGAAAAGAATTCTAATACACTGTGCTTTTTTCTTATACATATGTACCTATGATAAAGTTTAATTTATAAGTTAGGCACAGTAAGAGATTAACAACAATAACTTATAGAACAATTATAACTATATACTGTTAACAGTATCACAGACAGAAGATTCATTCTTATTGTAGATCTTATCAACCTCAGCATACAGTTTTGTTTTTTTTCTTATTGAGAACTTTCACCTTTTCATTAAAAGGAAGCACTTTATGATTTCTCTTTGTCATATCCAAATTGCCAGTATCACTACTCTTACACTTTGGGGCCATTATGTAAAATATGGATTGCTTGAGCACAAGTACTGCGACACTGTGGGTTGATCTGATAACTGAGACTGCTGCTAAGTGATTGAGGCCAGGTGCCGTATACAACTTGGGTACACTGGACAAAGAGGTGATTCACGTCCTGGGCAGGATGGAGTGTGACAGGGCAAGATTTCATCATGCTACCCAGAATGGCATGCAATTTAAAAACTTATGGATTATTTCTGGAATTTTTCATTTAATATTTTTCAGACCATGGTTGACTGCAGATAACTGAAACCCCAGAAAACTGTGGATTAGGAGGGATCACTGTACACCAATTTTTTTGTTTTCATCACTCCACTGAAGCTACCTTTATCAAAGTCACCAAATCCAATGGTTACTTGTCAATCCTTAATTTACTCATCAGCAGCTTTAACTTAGGGGGTCACTGTCTCCTACTGAAAATACTTTCACTTGGCTTCTGGGATGCCTCAGTGGTCTCTCCAGTGAGGTGAACAGACTTCCCTACCTCTTAATGTTGGCAGGCTTTAGGGCTGTTTTCAGTCCTATTCTCTTTTCTCTCTGCCCCCACACCTAGGAGATATCTTTTAGTTCCATAGTTTTAAATATTACATTTACACCTTCAGCCCCAACTTGCCCCTAAATGGCAGACTTATGATTATGATTGCCTACCCGACATCTTGACTTGAAGTCTAATGGTCATCTCATACTTCCCATGTCCAAAATAGATCTTTTCAGTTTTGCCGCTCACAACTTGTTTCTTCACCAGTCAGCCCCAGATTTGTAAATGGCACACTACTCATTTAGTTGCTTTGGCCAAGAACCTAAGAATTGTCCATGATTTCTTCCTCATTCCTCGGATCTAATCCATCAGCAAGTTATATTGGATCAGCCATCAAAATATATCCATACTGACCACATCTCATCCCATTACCCTACTGCTTTGGTCCAGGCCATCACTGTTTCAAGACCTCAGTACCTTTGTATCACCTTTAGAATAAATTTAGAATCCCTGCGTGGACCTGTAAGGTGCTTATGACCTGGGCCCACCCACCTCTTCCACGCCATCTGCTGCTCTCCCCTCGCTTGTTCCAGTCTCACCACACTGGTCTTATTCTGGCACATTCCAAGTTCAGTGCCGCCTCAAGGCCACTTTGCTTGATATTCCCTCTACCTAGACTGTTCTCTCTTACCTTTTCCTGGCCAACTCCCGTACTTCACTCAGGTCTCTGCTCAAATAGCACTTCCTCAGAGTCCTCTCCTCACTAAAATTATCATCTCTTCCCACCTTACTATTGCTCTACTCCTCCTTCCTTTATTTTTCTTCATCACACTTGAAAGTAGAGGTGTGTGTGTTGTGTGCTTGTGTTTGTTTCTCCACTAAAAGTATGTTTTTGTTTAAAAATTTTTAGTCTTTGTCTTCCTTATCAAAGAAGGATAGAGACTTCATCCTTTATGCTCACTGCTAAATCCTCGGTGCCTAGAACAGTGCCTGGCACATAATAGAGGCTCAATAATTACTGAATGAAAGAACAAAAGACCCAAGAAAGACCAACAAGTAAATCCAGTTTCAGTGCAGTGTGGAAGTGCTTTGAGGAAATCCACAAGAGGTGTAAAAACAAGTCTAGCTGTCAAGTAAGTCACTTCTGAACTATTTACACCTTTGCTATCTTTCTATGGTTTCTTAGGAGTGTAAAGCTGTATTTCCTAACTCAAAAAGTAATTCCAGTAAACACTGAAGAAAACTGAGAAAAGCACTAAGAAGTAAAGATCATCTATAATCATACTACTAAGAAAAAGCTACTGTTTTTACTACGGCTTTTCAGGTTACATTTTAAGACATAAATTTGGGATGATACTGTATATCCCACTTTGTAACCTGAGTTTTAAAAATTTAGTAACATATTGTGAAAACACTTTTTTTTTTCCCCAGGCAAAGGAATTCTTGTTGGATAGAGCAAACTAATCTCTATTATAAATATTATTTTTACATTTTACTAGGTGTGCCGTATAGAAAATGTGTTACATGATTCTTCATCTTATTTTTTCTAGAAAAGAAATAAATTCCTACTTATTCAGTTTTGCACAAAGCAAATCCATTATCAAATTTATGTGCTTTTTATTGACACAACTATCTCTATCCCAGGAGAGCATTACTTAATTACGTAAAATTACATTACTTACATAAAACCTTGCTCTAGGGTAATTATTTTGTTACCTATGTTGTAAATATATATATACTTATTGAGGAAATGCCCATAAAAAATTAAGTGAAAACTTTGGTTACAAAACAGTATAGTTAGTATGTAGACTAATGATAGGAATGGAACAAAGGCTTAATGATAGATATCAAAATATAGGCAGTGATTCTCTTTGGTTGGTAGGTTTATAGGGAATTTATATTTTATTTGTGTTTCTCTGAGTATTCTATAATTTTGCACAAATTTATATTTTTCTTTTTAATTTCCAATGTTATCTATTAGTATAAAAAGTCAAATAATATTAATAGTACAAAGCTTAATTTAAGAGAGCATTTTCTTGCTACCTCACCCCACCCCATCTATTTTTTTGTTTTGTTTTGTTTTATTTTATTTTTTTGAGATGGAGTCTCGCTCTTTCACCAGGAGTGCAATGGTGCAATCTCGGCTCACTGCAACCACTGCCTCCCGAGTTCAAGTGATTCTCATGTCTCGGCCTCCCGAGTAGCTGGGACTACAGGCGCCCGCCACCACGCCCGGCTATTTTTGTATTTTTAGTAGAGACGGGGTTTCACCGTGTTAGCCAGTGATCTCCTGACCTCGTGATCCGCCCGCCTCGGCCTCCCAAAGTGCTGGGATTACAGGCATGAGCCACAGCGCCCGGCCCCTGTTTTCAGCTCTTAAACCAGCTTCCTCTGGTATTTACCTTCACATTTCTCAGTAATATAAATTGCTATTTCCTAATTCATTATTTTCAGAATCTGTTGATTTATGGGAAAGTGAATATTTAGTGCAATTTCTGCTTGTGTCTATATTATGAGTGTATGAATAGTGTTAGCTGCTGAGCCAAGTAACATGATTACACAATTACATTTCCTTTTGTGTACATTTTGCTTCCTCTGAAGTTAACTAGGTTTTTTTGTGGCTCCGTTTGTTATGTATATGTCAGATTCTTCACTTTTATATATTATTTGCTTTCTTCAATTCATAAGCTTTCCCAGTGTTCTAGAGTTCATGTTGGCTCACTTTTCATTGGCATGGCTGGCCATAGGCATTCAGTCTTCATCTTCCTTTTTCGTTTGTTTTCGTTGAGACGGGGTCTCACTCTGTCGCCCAGGCTGGAGTACAGTGGCTCGATTTTGGCTCACTGCAAGCTCCGCCTCCTGGGTTTAAGCAGTTCTCATGCCTCTGCCTCCTGAGTAGCTGGGATTACAGGCGTGAGCTACCACGCCTGGCTAATTTTGTATTTTTAGTAGAGATGGGGTTTCACCATGTTGGCTGGCCTGGTCTGGAACTCCTGACTTCAGGCGATCCGCCCGCCTCAGCCTCCCAAAGTGTTGGGATTACAGGCGTGAGCCACCACGCCCAGCCATGTTATATCTTTTTCATCCTGTAACTTTCATTTTAGTGGTATTTGGGGAAGGAGTGGAGAGGAATGTATGTGTTCAGTTCAGAATAGTAAATCTGTTATTGGGCATCAAGATGGTGTCCAAACCTGTTTTTTTAAAGTGGCTTCTTAGCACAGAGATTTCCAAGTCAAGAGTAGCACATTTTAAGGTTGTTGATGACTATTGCCAAATTGCCATTGAAAGGACTGTGTTAATTTACATTTCTTGGTCTGGCTATTTATGTGCTTTGTGACTTTAGTCAAATTACTTAATCCCTGTGTGCTTTTTCTTCAGTATGGGATTAAGAGTAATATGCATAGGACCTTTAGGAAGGTGGAATGAGTTAATACATAAAAAGTACTTAGAATAATACATTGTAGCTGCTCAAAAAGAGTTTGTTAGTGGTTTTTATTATTGTGATAAGGCTATGTCCTCCTTCCCAAAACTCATTAATTTTTA